GAACAAGTCACATTTTTATACTTCATTACTAACAAGCTGGCCGGGAATATCTACACAGTTTGTATGTAGTTTTTACATACCATTTGTTTCAGATTGCAGCCGAGAGTGAGCTCTGCGTATCTCGTTCCCAGATTTGACAAGAAACAATAGGGCGCCTCCCTTTCCAAGAACACCTTCTCATTGCATCTCATCATGTACGTTATATCTTGTGATATACGCGGGATCTTCTCCAAGTCATCAATTTTTATTGCAACTTTGGTCACCATCGCCAGCCATTGAGCCCGTGATTTGTTCACAACAACCTATATATATGTATAACTCCAACACCCCTTCCAATCACTAAAACATGCAACCTCTGCCAATATTTCTATTTTTTTTTATTTCTTTTCATAAGCAATAACAAGTCATGGTACCTGGCTAGTGAACAAGGAATTCGGAACAGTTACAGGGAGCATCTCTTCGGTCAACAGAGACGTTGTTGTCATCCCCATTTCTACAACTTGGCCTTCAACATATCCAGCCTGTTTTGTGAGAAGAAGAAGGTGATGAGTTATAGCTCCAGATGAAATCATTGAACCAACCAATCCATAGCTTCTTTCGTTTTGGTCACTATTATATTTACCTCCACAGACACTAAACTCCTAAAACTTCTAGCCTATAAGACTGTAAATGGTGATTATAAGAAGTTTAGAGGGTTATCGGCATTTAATGGGGCACGAATTTGTAGCATACTCGTATCATTTCTCCAACAGAAAAAGGCCTTGAAAACTGTAACGAAAGCCCACTTAAAACATTTCCAATGACGTCTCGCGCAGCAATAGCAATAGCAACTCCTGCATACCAATTACAAAATAAATGCCAGAAAAGATTTTACAATGTTATATCAATGAAATGAAAGTTTTTTCCAAAAGGAATCATTATGAAATGAAGCTGCTCACCTCCTATGCCCCCCACAGTGAGAATTGATTGCACAGGCACCCCACATGCCTCAGCTAACCCCATCAATCCAATGGCAAATAAACCAACAGAAGACACTTTCTCCAGTGTCAACAACCTGTCTCGATCACCCGCCTCAAAGGTCTTCCCTGCTAAGGTTCTGCTGATCGCATTTGTCTTCCACCTCTGTAGAAACCAAACAGATGAGAGAATAGTGGCACTCCTCCAAGCTGGCAAAATGAAATGTGATGCAACGCTGGTTGGCGCCACCATAGCCCCACTGCATGAAAAGATTCGAAATAACTAACCACACGTTTTGCACAAATACATAACAGGGACTTAAACTGGGAAAAAATAATATCACGGGCATATAGAGATATTACTAACATTTGGGTAAAGGCCATAAAAGTGATGAGATACCGAACGGGATCCTCCAGAGCACCCCAGATGCTTTTTTCATAAGGTACGGGCTTCAATATTGAGCGGTCAGATAACAAACCAGCAGGCCATTCCTTTGACATCTTATGAAACCTCCTCAGAAACCTTGGCATCACTAACCAGGCCAGTAAAGTACAGAGCAAAGTGCCACTAACAGGAGCAACGACATGTATCAGGTACGGATTTGCATCAAGAATTTGCTGAACTTGAGGTGTTATGTCACTCGAACCGTCTATCACCTTCTCACCTGTGGAACTCACACCATTCCCAAGACTTTGGAGGGCTTCTTTTGCCTTCAAACCCCACTCACCCATGTCAGACCCACCAGTACCACCTACAGACGTTGAATACAAACGACCACTCCATAAAGGGCCACTGCTCGAGAATAGAGAAACAGCTCTTGAAGGATAGACGAAACAGAAAAAAGAAGAAGACAGAAGAGCCATATTGCACAAGCTAGCAAACGAATACAAAACCAGAAATTTCCCAAGTAAATTTTGCATACAAGATGGATAAACGAAAACAATGGAGTTCTGGGGTAGAAAGTAACGAACTTGGAGAGAGCAGAACATCAGCGCGCTTGATGGGCAGTGAATATTGAATATATACAGAGTATATATTAGGATGTGGTGACTTGATGAGAAAGAAAGAAAGAAAGAAAGCGACACTCTTTCTGTATTTTTCGTACGCCGTATAAAAAAGAGAACAAGTTGGGAATAATGTGAAAGAATTTTAGAATGTGGAGAATCCGTATTAACGGCCTTACACCACAAATTATATCCCATTTGTACATCGTAGTTATACACAAACATTTTGATAGTTTACACTGACACAAGTGTTTGTGCTTTAACAAAAATTTACACGGACACAAAATGTTGGTGCATTAACAAAAATTAGTTTTACACCAATACAAAGTGTCGGTGCAGATCTACGGGGTACAAAGTGGAGTACAAAAGTTGGGGTACAAATAACTTTATCCATTATTTTTCTGTCCAATTTGGACAAATTTTGGGAAGTTAGATGCGACTCCTATTTTTTTTTCTCCTTTTTTTGAAGGTCATACTCTTCTTTCTGGAGATTTATATAAGAAATCACCTTAAATACAGATAAATAGTGAGAAATTGTGAAAATAGAAGTTTCAATGTTTTTATTTTCTAAATATGACTTCGCATTGTGGTAATGTGGTATTGTACATGTGCATATTACTATACTTTGTGGTATTGTACACGGTCCTAATTGATAATATGAATGTATTTTAACTCCTATTTCGGGAATAAAAATATGGAACTCCTATATTGATATATTTTCAATATTTTACTCATACTTTACTTTTTTCCCCCAAAAAATATAGTATGTGCCTTAAGAAAATCAAATTAATGCCCAATTTAGCATCCCCGAGATGGGACTCACTAATTAATTGAAATTCATGCCCACTTTAGCATCCCTGACTATCAGTCGTCAATAGCATCAAAACAGCATTTAAACTTGTACTTATTTTCCAAACAAAATTTTTTCTAAATTAGTCAATTTTTTGAAATAAAATGTTATAAAAAAATAGTCTCCCGACTACGCTCAAACACTGTGAATCAATTAAAAAGAAAGACTCCTACTTCGATTTTTCATATAGAGTATTAAATATGTTTTTACATCGAAAATAGACTAATTTGAAAAAACATCAAAATTATATGTGATTAATTTGGAAAACTAATATAAGTTTGAATGTCGTTTTGACATTGTTTTGACGACAGTTAGTCTAAGGGACTAAAATGAGCATTATTTTCAATTAGCGAGTATCATCTCGATAATTAGTCCATCTTGTTAACTAATTTGAGAAAAAAATAGTTATTGAGTACCATTTTGAGAAAACATAGGGACGAACTGTGATAGTAGCTAATAGCCTAATACTCAGCAAAAAAAGATTAAACCTCGATCCCTAAAGTCCTCTAGTACCCACACCAAGAGTGGACTAGTGGAGAGTTTGTTGGGTTTGTGGAGGCTTGGGCTTGACTTGTCCGTTGGCCCGGCCCATGTTTTGTAACCCTAGGTTTTTCCTCCTATATATTAGCCCTTGTACTTGTAAGTCTGGTGAGACACGACAAGTGAAATAGAAATCCTCCCGTTGCAGACGTGGATTAGGAAAACCGAACCACGTTAAATTCTTGTGTGTCGCTTGTGTTCCGTTTCTCTCGTTTCTCGCAGATTATTTGTGTGTGTTGTGTGTTTAGTGGAAGGTTGTAAAGGAAAATCTTGTTATGGCCCGCGGAAGGAAGAGTGGTTCGTTGTATATGGTCGAGTTACCATCTAAGGGAGTGACCGTCCCAATTCAGAAGAGAAACAAAGTCCGGTTCACAGAGTCTCGTGGGCAGAATAAGGTTGTCTATGCAAGAGAGAAACCTAGAGCCATAGGTCAGACTCAAGATGAACGAGCAAGGAAAGGTTCAAGAAGGCCAGTCAGAGGTATTTGTGGCAGTGGGAGCTCAAGAGGCGCTTCAGCCAAGTTTTCTAGAAGACAGTGGGTCATGAGAACCAGTATTCCAGCTGTTGGAACATCTTCAGAAAATTTCTTGTTCAGTATGGAGAGTGTTTGTTCTCAGGATGTTCCAGGATCCGGCAATGTGCATCTGCAGTGGGAGCCGGTAGGGACCGAGGACGAGTCAGGGGCAGATTTATCCGTGACTGATGGGTTGGAGCTTGGGAGAGCTTCAACGGGCCTTTCAGTTGTCTGATGATAGGGCCGCTGCAACAGGAGAGCTGAGGAAGATTACTCGATGTACAAGCAATCGTGGTGGATGGCACTTGATGACTATCAAACCTCCAAGTGGGAGAATGTTGGGTTTGTGGAGGCTTGGGCTTGACTTGTCCGTTGGCCCAGCCCATGTTTTGTAACCCTAGGTTTTTCCTCCTATATATTAGCTTTTGTACTTTTAATTCTGGTGAGACACGACAAGTGAAATAGAAATCCTCCTGTTGCAATCGTGGATTAGGGAAACCGAACTACGTTAAATTCTTGTGTGTCATCCGTGTTCCGTTTCTCTCGTTTCTCGCAGACATTTGTGTGTGTTGTGTGTTTATTTCCCAACAGAGTTAAGTTGAATTATAATCTCCATCTAGTCAAAAAAGGGTGAGATTTGTCTCAAACACGAGTTAACTCTTTGTGATAATATCCTATCAATTAGCTGAGCTACGGCCTCAGACAAAATTATAGAGGATAAATTTTTTGTACTAGGTGGCCCACTGTATTGCCCCACAACCACATGAAACCCAACGTTTGACTTAGACTTACAAATTAGTTTACACCGCTTGTCCCTATTAGTATCACCTGATTCGACTTGGGCTGTGATTTTTTTAGAGCTAAATTCAAGTTAAATCCAAATTGTTACTCTACATTCGAGCTAAATTCAAAATAATCCAGTTATTCACTTGAGTGTGACTTTAAAATATATCTCTCATTGGAAAATTGGAAATAATATATTTGGTTTATAAGTTCTTGAATTAAACTAGTTAATCGATTAAATTTAATCATTTAATTTCGTTCAATTCAAGCATCTTATGAACGAGTCCAATAACCCTTACCTCATAAAAACGAATACATATCAATTTTCCCCCCTCCTTTTTTCATTTTTTTTAAAATTTAGGTCCTATTTTTTGTCATAAGACATGGGTACACATATTTTGGAGACCAAGAATGATGAATAAATAAATTGTTGATTGATGAATGTAACTCTCTTCGTTTTAAATTAAATTGTCTATTTATTATTCACGGGATCAAATTTCATCCACTTTCTTTTCTTATTTTCGTTATTCATTTGATAAAAATTTATAATCATGTTACTCCTATTTTCCTAAATCTTTTGATGTAGCTTTTTAATAGGTAAAATTTTTTTTTTAGTTTCGCACCGATTTCCTAATGAAATGCATTGAAACTAACTTCAGTCAAATATCATAGATCAAAACAGACACTTTAAATTGGGGCCGAGGGATACGATCGAAGATATTTAGTTGATGGGCCTAAAATAGTCCAAATATTACATGATGGCACAATCATGCATGTTCTTAAGCTAAATGATTCAAATAATTGCAATTAGGAGCCTAATTTGGGGGTGAGAAGTTGCTTGAACAAAGCCAACTTTGGTACATTCCAGTGCTCCACATGCCTCCATACTTTGCCCGACTCCGCGCTCAAGTAATACTCCGTATAACCACTAGCTGCGCCCAATCATATATATATATATATATATATATATATATATATATATATATATATATATATATATATATATATATATATATATATATATATAAAATAAAATGTTAACAAGTATCCAACATAAAAAAGTTTAAGATAAAAGTAAAAAGTATATAAACTGAACTACGTAATTGATTAAATACAATCTTTTAGTGCTGTTTTATTATATACGTAACTGAAATTGAATTGGTAGTTGAAATTCTATGTAATTGATTTGGATGGAATTGAATTCTCCAATTCTAATTCATTATTGTCTCCAATTCCAATTTTATAGTTTGAATTTTGTGTATCAAACAAAGCCTTAATCAATTCAGCTCAAGTGTTTTATCAGCCAGTGCTGTAATCCCAATCTCATACTAAATTTTACTCCCTATCATATAATAGAGATTGGAGAGTAGTAATTTACAAATTAGAATCCAGGTCCATCCAATATAAAGAAGTACAATAAACTGTGTGAAGAAAATATATAGAGGCAAAAAGAAACCTGAAAGTGTGGGTTTCCATGGGAAAGCCAAAATACATCTGAAACGCCAGTGCCCAATCGCCTTTTCCTGTGTGAGTTAGTTAGAGGCTTTAATGGAGCTTCATGAGTTAGGTATATATTATACATTCCTTCTTGAACTGATAATGGCTAATATTTGTTTATGTAGATGTTAGAGTGCATCCCACATCGAAAGTCCAAGAGTAAAATAATTGGTATATAAGCTTTAGAGTTGAACTAACTAATCGATTGAATTCAATCTTTTAATGTGGTTCAACCCAAGTGTCTTATTGCCCAATCCAGTTGTCCATACCCATCCTAAATTCTATCATGGTATCAGAGCAGGTTTTGGCCCACCTCGTTTGTCAAGGTGTCCGTCTAGACGTTCATTCCTAGCGGCCCGTTTGTCTTTAGCCCAGTTGTCCGTATGGNTGTTAGAGTGCATCCCACATCGAAAGTCCAAGAGTAAAATAATTGGTATATAAGCTTTAGAGTTGAACTAACTAATCGATTGAATTCAATCTTTTAATGTGGTTCAACCCAAGTGTCTTATTGCCCAATCCAGTTGTCCATACCCATCCTAAATTCTATCATGGTATCAGAGCAGGTTTTGGCCCACCTCGTTTGTCAAGGTGTCCGTCTAGACGTTCATTCCTAGCGGCCCGTTTGTCTTTAGCCCAGTTGTCCGTATGGAGTATGTATCCAACGGCCTGTGGCCCGTTTAACACGATTGCTTGTCTGGAAGTTCATACCCAGCGGCTCGTGGTCCTTTAGGTGTTGACGCTCAAAAAAAATCAAGGGAATGGGAGTTCATTTGCAAGTGGTCAACCGGTTAGATTCAAAATGGCCCGGTTGTCCACTTGAGGGGGAGTGTTAGAGTGCATCCCACATCGAAAGTCCAAGAGTAAAATAATTGGTATATAAGCTTTAGAGTTGAACTAACTAATCGATTGAATTCNTGTATCCAACGGCCTGTGGCCCGTTTAACACGATTGCTTGTCTGGAAGTTCATACCCAGCGGCTCGTGGTCCTTTAGGTGTTGACGCTCAAAAAAAATCAAGGGAATGGGAGTTCATTTGCAAGTGGTCAACCGGTTAGATTCAAAATGGCCCGGTTGTCCACTTGAGGGGGAGTGTTAGAGTGCATCCCACATCGAAAGTCCAAGAGTAAAATAATTGGTATATAAGCTCTAGAGTTGAACTAACTAATCGATTGAATTCAATCTTTTAATGTGGTTCAACCCAAGTGTCTTATTGCCCAATCCAGTTGTCCATACCCATCTTAAATTCTATCAGTAGATGAATTAAGCAGCATGTTTAATCACATCACAGGAAAAACAGTAGTATCATATATACCTCAAAATCCTCCCACTTGACAAGTTTGAGGTTTGATTTCTGGACGAGGTGCCCGAAATTGGTGCAGTTCCTCTTGAACCTGCGCAGCCCTTTGAAGGAACCCCCTGCTGGGTCTGCAAATTCACAATCCTCTTCATACACACCCATCGTCACCTTCCCTGAACTTACAAAAAAGTATTTTGTAGGGTGCCCGAAAAATTAGGACGAAAGTGTTTTCAGGGATGGAGAGAGTACTGAAGTTGAGATCGAGCAGAACCCGTGACAAAGTATGATCTCAAGAAGTCGTCTTTGATGGCAGCCACGACAACGGATCGTTCAACCGCTCCAGACTCATCACAGACCATCTCCGTATTTCCTTCTCCGCCTTCGGTTTCCCTATCAGCCGCCGGAGATTGGAGGAGAGAAGCAGCAACTCCCAGAAGCTCAGAGCCATACCAAGCCACCTTCAGCACCACATTTCCAGGCATGCCGCCGCTGCCCGAATCATTTCTTGCCTCCTTCCCCTTATTATTGTTACATCGCACGGTGCCTGCTCTTTTGCAGCAATGAAACCGTCCTCGTCGGAAAACGGCACAATGGTTGCCCGGACGGAGGAGGTTGATGGTGATGAAAGGAAAAGAGGAAAGTGTTGTCATCACACAACAAAGAGAGAGAGAGAGAGAAGGAAAGAGTTGAAGAAATATCTCAGTACTGAATTACTGATAGTACAACAAGTAACGGTAGCCACAAGTTTAATTAATTAATACAGCCTTTCTAAGAGCACAGAGTAAAAGACCATTTTAGCCTTCATGTAAAGAGATACAAACAAACATTATAAGTTCTTCCCATTTCAAAAAACACACAGAAAATTACAGTCTTTCTTATAGATAGGATGCTGAAGAATTCAAAACAACCTCCTGGAAGAATCCAGAAGTGAAAATCAAGTTTCATCATAAGCTGGTGCAACAGGTGCTGTGTTTATCATTAGCATATCATTTCAATGGCACCGGGTAATATGTGAAGCTAGCTTCCTGGGTAGGAACCCCAAAAACTCCCCATCACACTCGACATAAATACACCCGCTGCTGCTACCCGCCTCCTCAACTTCGATTGAACGAGCACTGAGGAAATCGAGACCAAAAGCTTAACAATGGAAGACTGAAATAACGGGGAACAACGTAACTTTTATAAACAGCACTCTTTCAACCCGGAGTTCGATAGCATCATGAGGACCATTTTTCCTGATTAAGCAAACATATTGCATTATAGCAGAACTTTCAAATCAATATCTTAACCCCAAATCAGGCGCAATGCCCACACGCACTGAAACAACAGAGTAAAAGTAGTTCCAACTGACCACCCTAATGTTCTGGCGAAGTCTGACCCAGTTCCTAAAGGAATGAGCTGCATATAAAAAACAAGCACTAATAATATCGCTCCCAAAATCACACAAGATTTGCTTGTTGACTATAGTTACATACCGGATTAATTTCACAGTAATAAGTAATATCGCTCCTAAAGCAAATGCACATTTTACTTATTAGTAGTACTATGTAATGCTCCTAATAACTCACACCGAGAGCAGTTGAGTGTGTAGAGTCCGGATCACGATTGGAAACAGGTTTACCACCACAGAAGAAGCCATTAACAACCTGCAATGGCTGTTAGTTTAGCTTCAGACTGTTGTGTTTCAGTGTCGTATGTGAATGACGTAATGATGTATAAGCGTGAGGTGTGAATCAAACAATTAAGAATAGACTCTTAATCCTTTTTTTCAGTACACTCGACCTCGTGTAGCGTTCCATCACCACCAACACAGCAATCACCGCATCAGCTCCCTCACGTATAGCCTGTCAATAATTATTCTTAGCTTATTGGCGCACGCTTCACATTGTCCTTCATAGTAAGAAAACTAGTTGAGTTCAATATGTGCGGATATTAAGAAGAAGCATGCCTCCCTTGTTATGTCGGTGGCATGATGGGGGGCGTGACGTGAAAGACTCGCATATCTGGAAACAACATATATAGAGGCAAAGTTCACGTAGGTCAGCCAAATAATTGCAAATAACCACGGTCAGGAAACAAAGGTAAACGTAATTGAATGTTAAATTTGATTAAGCCTACATTTTCTGCCCTTCCAAATTTAACTTCGATTTTACCCTCTATACCCGTTTCCATAGCATTTTCTGAGTTTCAAACTGACCCTAGAACAAGAAGAGTGAGCAGAAATGCTCAGTCTTGGTCACAAACAACTCCTTCGAAGCAAGAAACTCGAATGAAAAACTAGATCACTAGCTAGCTGAACCCGTGGAACAGTATAAAACCAGATGATGATTTAATTTAAAAACGGAAAAACATAAAGGCATTAATTAACTAAATGGAAGTCACGTACGTGATAGTTGTTGTTAGAGAGTGTAGACCTGAGATGAGGTAGCAGCGACTTCCATTGCTCGCCAGTCTTTCCATTAGCTCCTGCTTAATGAATCCAAATCAGCAGAAAAGAATTGAAGAAACAATTAGCACCTAATTACGAAATCGTGATGCGTTTCATCAGAAAGTTCAATTTGATTTCACAAGCGAAGAAGAAGAAAGAAAACATTAAAGAAAAAGAAGAAGCAAAAGAGCATGCACCTAGGGGATTGACAACGAAGACTAGGTCGCTCCGCTTTGATCATCGGTGGTTTCGCCGCCCCCATCGGCACAAACATGTACTACTACTAGTAGTAGTGATATCCGGTGATGAAGTACGTACCACCATTAACATATAGTAGTCATCATCTTTTCATGTGTTCGTCGGCAAACTTTATTTAATTTCGTGAGACTTTTTGCAGGGCTAATGCTATACATATATATAGGCTATAGGAGTATTATTGATAGGAAATGTGAATCCTCCTCATTAAATTCCTCACATGAAGATGCTTTATCATCATCATCATCATGTCTGTCGCGGGTTGCCATGTTGACTAAGTTAGTTAACTTCCCATCCTAAAATTCGCGCATAGTATTGAAAATCACACCTAGTTTTGGCGCACTTTCATTTCATTTCCATTCTGTTAACTCTTTCACTTCAATTAAATTATTCCATGTCCCAAAACAGATTAAATAAAGGATTGTGCGTGTCCAATCTCGTCTGCCCACAAATTCGCCATAACATCCGCATCTTCGCAACATGCAATCGCTGAATGCATGCGGATTTTCTTGATCGTTCATCCTAGTCAAAATCTTCTTATCCCACAGAATCCTTGGAGCCAACCTCCACTTGGCCAAGTCGCTCGTACACGATGCTCAACATCCCCATCCAACTCACCATTTACTTGAACCGTCGAGCCAAGATACCAAAACCAGTCAGCCTTTGACACTGGATGAGAATCAATCCTAACTTTCACTCTTGACTCTTTCTCCTGGCCACTGAAACGACATTTCATGTATTCAGTCTTAATCGTCCCTACTCTCGTGGGATCCAACTGGGTTGTAGTTGTTGATTTGTCGGCAGCAATGGAGGTAGACTTGGTGGTGTCGCCAATAAAGACATGGGAACTTACGAGCACTGACAGTAACCGAGATTCTAGCAAGAATCGCATCGATAGCAGGGCCAACTGTGCGGCACGACAGGGTCACAACGACAACATGTTGAAGTAGTAGTTTTTTAGGGATGTATTTATCTTTTGTATTTTAATTTGTAATATATTTTAATTAAATTTTTAAATAAAAGGAATATGAGTCCTATTTTAAACAAAAAGAACATAGGATTCTATTTTGGTCTTCCTATGTTTTTTAATCATATTTTCATTTTTTTTTCTCCCCAAAAAGGTTACCAGAATGCTAGAATAGTAAAGAATATAATCTATTTTGGGACAGGGAGTACATTCAATTCAATATAAATAACAATTCCAGAAGAAATTTACTAAAAGATGAAAAATACATCGTATGTCAAAATTGTACCCCTAGCATTACTCTTCTGGCAAAACAACATCAAGTTTCATCATAAGCTGGTGCAGCATGCGCTGACTGCTGTATTCATCATCATTAGCATATCATTTCAATGGCACCCGGTAATATGTGAAGCTTCCTGGGTAGGAACCCCAAAAACTCCCCATCAGACTGAACATAAATACTCCTGCCGCTGCTACCCACCTCCTCAACTTCGATTGAACGAGCACTGAAGAAATCAAGACCAAAAGCTTAACAATTGAAGACTGAAATAACGGGGAACCACTTTTATAAACAGCACTCTTTCTTTTTTTGTGGCAGAAAGATACCTTCTTGAATTAACATTTTTGACGGAGAGATGTGTTCCATTGTACAGCTTATGTAGATTAAGGATGAAATCATACCACTTGAAATTCTGAAGAGTAACAACCTGCGCGCATTGAAGGATGTAGTTTTCAGTTAAGAGAATGAATGCCCTATGTGGGTAGTGACCTGTTCACAATCACTTTGGCTACAAAACAACAGCTATCCCACACCTCGAAGTTACCACTTGTTGGGTTAGCATTGGGTGTGATTTTCATTCCCCCGCCAAAGTATTTTGCATTCCCTATGCATAAAGCAGTTACTTGTGGATATACTTCCCACTCACCATCATCAACCTGCGTAAAGTTTTGCCCTTCTCGATAAGTAAAGAAAGGTATGACCCTCGTGAAGGGTTTTCTTCTTTGTACGGAGTAAATAGAACTTTGAAGTATTTGCAAGGGAAATGCAGAGGAAAGATAATAATCATATAAGCAAACACAAGAAAAAATTATGTTTAAAAAAACCTTGATCCTAAGATCCTGGTTGTGGTGTCCAAAAAAAGCCTGCAAAGCACCAATTACATAGCACAAATTTCCAAATTTCTTGTACTTTGATGCATGATAACCAGCCTTTGCACTTCTGCAGCGTTTCATGGAAGTTTGAGAGTGTGTTAAATGGCAAAGCACGCCAAGTAGAAGCATAGTTTTACTACTTAATCACACAATTTTCCTTACAAATGTATATCAGCAACATTGATGAAGTAATGTGGTTCTCCACTCTCTCCGCTTATAGATCCAATGTCAACCCTAGATTTTGTCCCTAGAGAGCGCCGCTGTTAGAATGGTTGTAGGAACGATGAAGTCCAACGTGGGAAACAAATGGTCTAGAGAAATGAGGATTTGAGAGTACCTACAAGGATGCGCTCGATAGCATCATGAGGATCATTTTTCCTGATTAAACAAACATGCATGAAAGTAGATATTTCAAATCAATACCTTAATCCCAAATCAAGTAGAATGCCCACACGCACTCAAATAACAGAGTAAAAGTAGTTCCAACTGACCATCCTAATGTTCTGGCGAAGTCTGATCCAGTTCCTAAAGGAATGAGCTGCAGATAACAAATAATCACTAATATCTCTCACTAAACTATACAAGCTTTTCTTATTGACTAATGTAACATGCCGGCTGAATTTCACAGTAGTAAGTAATATAGCTCCTAAAGCAAATACATATTTTACTTAGTAGTAATATATAATGCTCTTAGTAACTCACACCGAGAGCAGTTGAGTATGTAGACTCTGGATCATGACTGGAAACAGGTTTACCACCACAGAAGAAGCCATTAACAACCTGCAATGGTTCAATTAGCTTTAGACTGTGGTATTTCACTGTCGTATGTGAAAAACGTAATGATCTTTAAGTGTGTAAATCAAACAAGAATAAACTCTTAATCCTTCCATACACTCCACCTCGTGTAGTGTTCCATCACCACCAACAGCAATCACCGCATCAGCTCCCTCATGTATGGCCTGTCAATATTTTTCTTATAGACACTTCACAATATCCTACAACTCTTTCCGACAGAATGTATTCATCCAGTATTCCATTGTGGGTTGTCCCAATGTATTTGCCCACTTTCCATTAAAGGTTGTGTAATTATTGTCACATTGACTCTTTTTCCCTCAACTTAACACCACTTTTAGAGGCCCCTTCATAAAGCAAAGGCAATTATGTGACATAGTCACTTTCATCTTTTACTCACTTTTTCTTGGTCCATGTGGTGTAGATGAAGTGGACAAACACATCGGGACAGAGGGAGTAATAACTACTTAAGCTTAATATTTAGGTATTGAGAAACTTACCTCCCTTGTTATGTCAATGGCGTGATGGGGGCCTGATGTCAAAGACTCGCATATCTAGAAATCACATAGACGAAAAGTAACTACAATGTCCCCAATAGGGTAAAAGAAACACAATAAGCATATGAAATGACCCTTGGATTCAGCTCCCTAGTCCTAGAGATGATAAAAAACTCAATCGAGACAACTTTTGAAATTATAGGGGGGTATTGAACTATTGACTGGCACAAGATGAGTTCATTCCATAAAAAATTAAAAACTTTCCTATGACCATTTGTAGTTTACCCAACAGCCTTTGCTTAAAAGTCCAAACTGACCCTAGAAGAGTACGCAGGAATGCTCAGTCATGCTCACAAACAGCTCTATGAAAGCAGCAATATGGATAAAAAATTAGATCACTAGCTGAACCATTATATCAGTACAACACTATAAAATCAGATGAAATATTAAAAAGAGAAACCTAATGGAACTCACGTTATAGTTGTTAGAGAGTGTAGACCTGAGGTGAGGTAGCAGCGACTTCCATTGCTCGCCAGTCTTTCCATTAGCTCCTGCTTAATGAATCCAAATCATCAGCAGAAAAGAATTGAAGAAACAATTAGAACTTACGAAATCATGATGCTTTTCATCAGAAAGTTCAATTTGATTTCACAGATGAAGGAAAGAAAAAAAAAAAGCAGCTCACCTCGAGGATTGACAACGAAGACGAGGTCGCGGCGGCGGCGGCGATGAGATTCAGACGCACCGGGAAAAGTGAGGCCGGAAGGGAGAGGATGCTCAGCTTTGATCATCGGAGGTTTCGCCATCATCACTACTAGTGCTATCCGGTGATGAAGGACCATTACCGACCTCGCAATTCACACAGCTTTTCATGTGTTTTTTCACTTTGTCGGCTCTACAAAATAATCCGTACAAAATCAGTCTGGATTACTCCCTCTATCCAACTTATTACTATTAGACTTTGCTTTATAAATGAATGGGATCTGATTAGAGATTTATTAGATCTAATTTGCTCTAATCCAATCAGATAAGACCCTTAGATTTTACATTTTCTAGTTTTGTGTGTCATTCTTTATTTTTCTCCTTCACTTTTTTTAGTCTTATTGAATGGAGTTACACCCACAAATTTATTTAAGTCACGGTATAATATTAGATCAATTTTTTTAAAAGCATTCTCATATTCTTAATGTATAAGAAGCTACCACATTAAACAAAACACCTACATTGTCATTATCAAGAAGTGATTCAATCTTACAACTTCTTAGATCATATTTTTCTCAACTTTTTATTGGAATCAAACTAGATCATATCAGACCATTAAATATCACTATATTCAGATTAGATCAAAACTTATTCCACTCAGATCAGATGAAAAGAACATGACCCTAATATTCTTCCTTCAAGATCATTTGAAGTGTAAAGTTTTACACTAGTTGGCCATTGCATACCACAACCACTTTTTATTTTTTGGTCACATAAAAGCTAATCTGTTTTCTACTTAAACATAGTAAAATCTTCTCGAAAAAATATATTTAATTATTTATGGGTAGTAACTACTTCGTAAAATTTGTGATACGCTTCAAGATTTTTATAGAATCAAAATGTCTTTTAAGCTATTGGTAAAGTAATTTTAAAAAAAGGAAAAATTGTCCTAATTAATCTCACCTTTTTACTTTTTTCAAAAATGATCTCAATGTCACTGAAAATAGTCTCACTTTTCTGCATGTGTGCGGATTTCAGGTCGTCGTAAAGAAGCTAACGACCACTTAACAAAATTTTTGGAAGATGTCTATTTTTTGCAAATAAATGAAAGGTGAATTATTTTAGGTAAGTTTACTTTTTCCTTTTTTTAATTTTAAACATTAAATTAGTGTTTTTAAAAATATAACAGTACACTCTTATAGATTCTTGTCTCAATTTTTTTTAAAACGTAACGATTTACATTTTTATAGTTTGTTGGGGAAATATAATATTGAATTTATCAAAAAAATAATTCAGAGTATCGCTCGAGAAAGAAAATTGCAATATAAAAAAGTTGTAATGAGTCATAAAAATAATTAGTGTCGTTTTGGGAAAAAAATAATTTGTCATTTTCACAACTTTTGAATTGTGATTTGGGTAAAAAAATTGTACTAAATTATCGAAAAAAAGTCACAAGTTTTGTAGTGCCATTTTAGAAGAATTAATACGGGTAATACAAGATTATCGTTAAGCATTTTGAAATGTTGTTAATGAAAAAAATCGCAATACAACAAAAAATGTAGTGAGTTAAAAAATAAAAGTTCTATTACAAAGTAATATTAGTGATATTTTCACAACTTGTTATGTTGTTTCAAAAAAAAGTATACAAAATTATCCAAGAATATTCACATGTTTTGTAGTGCCATTTTTTTAAAAAATAATACTCCCTCTGTCTTAAAATGATCTTCCAAGTTCGATTTATAAGGTTTGACTGAAACTATTTTCAATTCAATTTATTTGAATATAAGTGTAGAATTAAAAAATAAAAATTATACTCCATATATTTTAAAACTAGATGATAGTTCTACAAAACACGAAGTGACATGTCTATATTATTTTATCAAATACAGAGTAACTAACAACAATATGTAAACAAAATGATTAAAATTTGACAATGTGAATAGTGACTTGGAAGATTATTTTAGGATAAAAAGAGCAATAGTATAATATCAAAAAACAATTTGAAATGCCGCTCAAAAAAATAATTTGAACTTGCAAAACAATGTGGTGACTTATAAAGTAAATAGATTAGTTCCATTGTATAGAATAACTTATTGTGCAATTTCACAACTTTTGAAATATTATTTTTAGAACTCCAAAAGGTGAGATTATTTGAGATAATTATCCCTTAAAAATACAATAAACAGAACTTAAATTCTCACTAAAAAGTCTATGTTGATTGATTACATTTAGTTAACAATTCAGCAGAATTACTGCATCAGTGGAATACAGTGAAATCTCAAAGTTCAACATCACAAGTACAGTCAGAGCATCAAATGATTTTACTTTCCCCTCAAACAAAGAAAACAACTTATATATAGTCTTATACTCTTATTATTATTATTATTATTCAATCAGACTGTATATTTCAAGAAAATGAAGAAACCTCCACTTCTGAAACACTACAACACTGGAGTGTTGAATACTTTGAGAGGTGGCATTCGTTTCTCATTCATTCGGAGTTGCATCATCCGATGATGGCGGGTTGCTTCCATCTACACATGATAAAAGAACAACGAAAGATGAGGCAGTGGACTTTACAAATGAAGAGAGGGGGAAAGTGAACTACGCAACAAAAAGATAGTGAAGAGTAACAATGGGAAAGACATGGTTGTTCTTCCAGAAGTGTGGCTGAACATGGTATGGTCCTTTGCTATTGTGACACGTTTAATGGTACGTACCTTCACCTCCTGCTGGGGCACAAGGGGATTTCCGATATCGTGTTTGCTGCTGTGTTGGCTACAACACAAAAATCAAGAAACTAAAATAAAATTTCGCATTAAAAAAAGTCATATTAAGCTGATGAAATGCAAATGTTGCAAAGGCTGGGTTGAGGAAATGTCCAGATGCAAAAATGGTGTAAACTACTACAAATTATTTGTTTGTTACGTAACCCGTTCTTTCAAGGAAATGGCAAAAATGAATCTGATCACCCAAAAAACAAGGGAAGTTCAAACCAAACTCTAATATTTGTGGGTTCAATCCAACTTGCCCTCTTCAATCCTAACTCATCCACCAATTTAACCGAATATCTAGTATCTCCCTCCGACGCACATATTTGAAGGAGAAATATTTTTTTAAGAAAAGAATACAGAGTCCATAACTCCATATTAGAAATAACACTTAAGGGAAGTACTTAATGAAAAGTAATACTCCCTCTGTCCCATAAGAGTTTTGTTTATTGTATGTACAGCTTTAATTTTATTAAGGTACACCCATTTGCAAAAATAATCAAATACACCTATTTTAAAATTTTATCGACTTTACTAAATTTAACACACTCAACTTGTTTGGGATTAAAACATAAAATATACTACCAGTGTCCAATATCTTCTCAGCTGCTTTTTTTAGGCGACCCAAAATTATTTTTTCAGTTTTTCTTTAATGGGACATGAATATTAAGCAAACAAGCTGTAAAGTAATATGTTACCTGCAACTTTGGTCGAAGTGCTTCCAATGGACCTTTGGGCTTCCCTGCACCTTGCTATGAACATATTTCTAAATGTTAGCTACTGTAATAGCGAATTGCATTACTTTCAGGTAACAACAATTAAATGGAAAGCAGTGACAATACTACCTTTCCAAGAGCCCAATCAGCAGAATCAAAATATGCACGTTCATGGTCCTGACAATAACACATAGCTATGCATAAGAAATAAAATTGGGAACATACAGCGCCTCATGCTCTTGGTATGTAAACCAACACCATTTGTAAAAAAAACAAATTTGCAACATAGTTACTTAAAAACTACCTTTGAAATCAATGGTGGTTTCTTGGGCACTATTCCTCCATACTTTTTCTTAATAACAGCTTCTTCCTATAGACAATCAAGGAGGAAAGTGCAAGTCAAAACATGAGTGATACATGAACTATGCTGCATACATTTAAATGCTTGGTGAGAACACAACTTCCTGCTGGGCTGATGCTGTGGGGTTTTCAGTGCTAACAGCTTCATCTGAATGCTCTTTGACCTCCTCCGTGCCTGACATTGTTTCACCTAGCTAGTAATCAATATCTGCAGCAATGTACAACTTATTTACATCTGCTTTAATCGTTAGCTCATACTTGCCAATAACAACAAAAACACGGATCACTGGTTGGAGCAAATGTATCTTAGGAAGTCGCAAAGGAAAATATCTTTTATCATCTGACACAAGTTGCTATTTCATTTCTACGACCATCTCCAACCCATATCACCATTTTTACACCAAAAAAATGTAATTATCATTATCACACCAAATAATATTGGTATGACAAAAACAAACATTATCTCATACTCCATATTTTTATCTCCCCTTAATCCCCTGAAGCATTTTAATATTTAAAAAAAATCAAAGATCAAAATAGCACAATGACTATTATACACCAATTCTGGCATTGTAATTCTCTTTTTGCACTAAGATAGGGAAATGGCGATCAAAATCGTAAAAGGTCTAATATGGATGATAATTTATGTAGTCGTGTTTTATAAATGGATGAATGTGTCTCAAGTATAGAATTCATATCATTTGCCAGTGTTACTGTGATGCAAACTAGTTTGATCTTTAAATATTTTTGCAAGAGGTGCAATATGTAGTAAACGATGTTTGTGCTTGTTTTCTGCAGCTGTATATTAGCCACAACAATTGGTATTGTGTAAGAATTTCTTTTAGTTCGTCAGGTTTGATTTGAACTTAAATTTTCCAGTTTGTCGCATTTGATTGGCCCTTATAGATACAGACACCCACCCCTGAGGAAATCCCGGAGCATGTAAGGCTTTTGGGAACCACTTCTGCAGAACTCTTTTAGTTAAATATAATTCTGAAGTGAGAGCTGTAGCTCTAGTTCTTCAGAAAAAATTATAGCCTGTTGCAGTTAGGCTTCTGGAATCATTTTTATCAGAACTTTTCTAAGTCTTAAGAATTCTAAACTAACAGCTGTAGCCTTAGATCATCACAAGAAAAAGCAGCCTAATGTATCTAGGCTTTTAGAAATTTCTTTTCCTTCTACTTCCAGACCATGTGCATAAAAAGAAACTAACGCCCCAACACATTCTACACTCTTTTTGAATGAATAATACAAGTACCCAAATTAGCTTTGAATCCCAAAACAGACTATGCCATATAGAATCTTCTGCTAACCAAGCAAGGATTCCATGTAAAGAAAAAAGGAATTCAGAAATCATTTATGAGGTAAAAACATACAGTAGTTAGAACAATGAGATCGATTTCAGCAGTAAAGTACAAGGAAAAACCAGATAGCAATTCACACATCACTAAAATCAGTTCGGAAAAAAAACAGATCAATCTGCACCAAGCATATCACTAAAGTTAAGGAAAAAGGAATTCATGAATAGCTTAAACTTTCAGGGCCCGTTTGGTATACAGAATTGGTGGAATTGGAATTAGGATTCCATGTGATATTGTGATTCAATTCCATAGAATTGAATTCACCAATTTCAATTCATTTTTCGCACTATCAATTCCAAATCCACATTATATTTGTGCTACCAAACACCAGAATTGGAATTGAAGTCCTCAATTCCAATTCCATAATTTGAATTCCTTGTACCAAACCGGGCCTCACAAATTTGTGATGGAATTTGAAAGAATAAGAGAACCAGATCGTAAAAAGTCACTCCTTAACAAGGGGATTCAAAATATCTTAAAATAAAAACCTATCGGGCTGTTTGGAAACCTATGGAACTCAATACCCAGTCATCAAAGTCCCAGCTTCATCGACAAAGAGTCAGAGAGAGCCTAGATCTTCCCCACTAAACCTTATGCTCCCAGTAGTGGCACTCTTCCCCGTTCTTGGAGGTCGGATTTCCAACACCTAGGATGAAGGGATTGAACCTGTGGGAACATGTGCTTCTACTGAAATGTTTTCCCAGCGGAGGAGGGGTTTCTCTGGTTGAAGCTGGGGAGATCCGTGTTTTTAGCAAAAAGGTCACCGTTTGTATACACTAGTAATTTATTGAAGCTGAATTCATTTCACGCTAATTCCATTTGATATTCCAATCATTAGATTTCACGCCGAATTCAATTCAGCATCAAACGACCATACACGATTCGTCTAGCCGAGTGAACAAAACGAATAGAATTCAAAGCTTGGCTAATACAAACAAACAAACAATCATGCACAAATTTCAAATTTGATCTGATTCGGGGATCCCGACAAGAATTTAATGCGCCAATGTAACAAGTTTCAGAAAATAGCAAAGAAAGATTGATGGAGAAGACCTCTGAATGTTGTTGGCCGCCGTTGATATTCAGCTTTCCTTTTAGAGTGATCGACCAGAGCGAGACAGAGAGATGATGAAGTGATTGATCAGAAGTGGAGGAGGATGTTTCCAATGGACGAGAGGTCAGGAAACTTTTGGCAAGGATTTGGATTTATTAATAAAATGATTTCTTTGGGACCTTCTAAATTCGAATTAAAATGCTTGCACCAAAAAAATGGTTGGTCAAAGTTATAAAAATATGGAGGGAGATATTGATATAAAAGTGATTTAATTGTTATTTTTTAAAAAAAATAAAATTTCTTTAATTACTATGATAACATACTCCGTAAATTTGTATTTCAAAGTCAAAAGTTAATCCTAGTTAATTGGAAAAAAAAATTTGATAAGTACTCTAGACACAGAAAAATATGTTTAAATTTATGCAGTAGAAATATATTTTCTTCTTCCTACAAAAATGTTATACGTTTGACATAGTACAAAAACTTACTCCCTCTCTCTCCAATTTGATTATAAATTGCAGGTTACGGAGTAAATTTCCTACTTTTTGAAATCATTTTATATACAAATTAGTATATCAATAAGATATAAAAATTAATATTAAAAAACTATGTTAAAAGTTCTACAAAACAAGATGTGACAAGAATATTTTATTTTATCAAATACTTAACGAAATCGCGTAAACAAACAAAAATTAGCGAGAGGAAAGAAAAAAATTGTAATCTATTTAGGGACGGAGGGAGTAAAATATTATTCTCTCAATTTCAATTTAAGTTACTTGTTTACTATTCCATCTGGTCCTAAAAATGTTTTTTGTTTTGACTTTTATGGTAAAAAAAATAATACTCTTTTATCAAAAATTAAACATAATTTAAATAAATAAATCATATAAAAAATTGATATGTCAAAACTATATTCTAAGATGAATCTGATTTTACCAGAATATATAATATAATTATATATACTTTTTTCACAAATCGTGATCAAAGAGTGTAATTGTTTGATAAAAAAGTCAAAACAAAAAAAAAATTAGATTCGGAGGTAATATTTATATTGCCAAATTTATTAATTTTATTTTCTATTTTCATTACTTATTTCTTAAAATAATATAATCAGATCATATCTTATTTCGTAGATCTTTTGATGTAGTTTCTGAATATATAAAATTTATTTTTTAATTCTACCTCAATTTTTCTAATGAGTTGCATTGAAAAAGTTTCAGGCAAACATTATGAATTGAAACAAATAATTTGTAACACCCTAATCCGTCCAGGTCTGCAGCCCCTTTCGGACTAAAGTATTGATTTGGTAATCGTGATAATTTAAAACATTTCAAACATTTTTATTTATAAATAATATTCCATACATAATTGTAGAAAATACGGAGTGTTTAATAATAATGCGGGAGCGACTTTTAAACATGTCTCATAACAACATAATTATTTATTTTGTTCAATGATCCACCACGACTGTCTCGCCCCTTCTGCTGCCAGGAATCAGCCAATCATTCATTCTACCTACCCGCGTGTAGCAAATAAAACACACTACACGCTCAGCGGTGAAGCTGAGTAAGCATGTCTAAAGCGTCAAACATCCAAATAAATTGAATCTCAATTCATAATCAACCATTTGATATCATGTACACAATATATGATTCAAACATTCATGATATTCTCAATATTTTATTCCAAGTCATTTGATAATCAATATCTCAACCATGCTCTTAAATTATTCTTAATCTAAGGCCAAATCATTTTATAACAAGCTTTTAGATATTCCTAGTCTAAGGCAACATTTCTAACCAGGCCCTTAAACTATAAATAATTTAATGCAGAACACAAGAATCGATAATCCACCCTATGAGTCATGTGGATTACGTACCAACCGAGCAATGATTTGTCGGGTGGGTGATATCCGGTCTGGATCCCATACGTACGTTTTAACCCGAAATATGAATTGGTCAAGTAGGTATATCTTAGAGTTCTTCTAGATATCCTTAATAATCATCATCAATATACAAGTGGGTATATCTTAGAGTTGTTCTAGATATCCTTAACAATACGATTCATTAATTCATTATTTTCACTTTAACAATTCATGATCATCATTCAAAACGTTCATCATCATTAATTCATTATAATCAATAATCAAACAATCGTCATAATGCATAATAACAAATAGCGGCCTAGTCTCGAGTGTTAACACCCGAAC